ACTAGCGCCCAGCAACGGCGCTATATGGTGCGTATATATCCATTTACTATATGTTCTATGCTGGAGCCTATAGCGACCAACGCGAAACGTGAGGAACGCCAAGCATATATAATGATAACATCTAGAGTTTGATATGTAAGTAGAGGGAATCAACGGAATGTGATAGGAAATAAGATTTGACTGGTTGTAGCTCAAGGTCATGAACTTTCGTCTCTCCGTTAATAATGGCCGTTTAATTTCCAAGGGAGTGCGTTCCTCGTGACTTCAGGACGTCGAATATTATCACATGGCAAGAGGACATGCATCGCAAATGTGATCTCAATGCTCTTGCTACAACTCGGTTATCTCTCGATTATCAGTGCTATCAGCTCGAAGAGTGATTACAGCTGTACATAACAAACGTTGTAGAGAAGTTTTTAACGATATACTATATTTGGGGCACTCTAAAGCCTGCTGGTGTTTTATTTTAATGCGACGCATTTCTTCGCGAACTTCGGCGACTTTGAGCGTATCTATCTATCTATCTATCTATCTATCTATCTATCTATCTATCTATCTATCTATCTATCTATCTATCTATCTATCTATCTATCTATCTATCCAACTATCTATCTATCTATCTATCTATCCAGCTATCTATCTATCTATCTATCTATCTATCTACCTATCCAGCTATCTATCTATCTAGCCGCTTACGCTTGGGTGCTCTCATGGTAACCCCATTATCTTGGCTTGAACAAAAATTAGCATGGGAGGGTAAGATGGTTTGATGAATATGGCGCACTAGTCAAGACATCAATAATGTCACAATCCCGTCGCGTGCGCCATCAAACACTTATTGCAAGACAGTGGCACATACCCATGGGTGGGTATGTGCCACTGGTATGCGGGTATGTGCCACAGGTGATTAACACTTCGTATCTGTCCAGGAACGACGCGAACACACATGGGCAATATTAGCGCGCGAGCGTTAAGAAATACCCGACATCGGTAGCGTCTACCTGACGAATGCAAGAAATAAATGTAAGGGTCCCAGCTGGAATCAAACCCAAGCATTCTGCATGGCAATGAAGTATTTTACCCCAGAGCTACGCCAGGTCTCCAAACTACTTTTCAAATAGACGTTAATCTTCGTGAAACGTCAATGGGGGTTGCAGTGCTGCCTAGCCAATTTTATAAACATCACACATGTGCTCCTTTCGTATATCCGTCACGTCGGGTTAACGTCAATTGTGGTTAGTTGCCATGCGCTGAGGTTGATTTATGTGGCAGTGTTCACAACCAGCATCCTCGCGAGCATCAGCGCTGCATATCAGTTTCTGGTGTTGCTAATACGCTTGTTGCAGTTGGCATCACGGCCAAAGTGCGAACAATCGGTTATATAAACATCTGCAACTCTTCAACTTATGTCTGTGCGTGCAACATTTGTACATATACGCAACGTAATTTCATGACGTGTTGCTCAATAAAAAAAAATTGCAACACTGTCACCTTCCCACCACATGCTTCGCGTAACGTCAATTCCCAGGTGCGTAGGATCTGTCGAATTTTTCTTCGGTAAAATAAAAGGAGCGCATTTTCTGTAAAAAAAAAAATGAAAATGTCATAAAACCTTGAGAATGTTCCGATCACGTGCGATGTCAGGCCCATAGAAGGATGTAGTATGAACACTGAAAATAAAGATCGTAATAACGCCAACGACAAACGACCCCACAAACGGTTATCGCGTTTCGAACGCACCTTTGTATCCCGCGGCGAATTCTTTGCGGTTCGTTTTTTTCTCCCTTGATCTAACGACCCAGTTAGGGCGATGCAGTTCACGCGAACTTCAGTGCTGGCTATGTACGTATGTAAGAGCTAGTGACACAATACGATGAATCGACGCTTTACGGGAAGTCATCATCGGCGGAAGTCTACCTAATCAATGGATTCAGCCCTGCAGCAGCAGTAGCATCGGCGGCGCGAAACGACTGTTGATTGAGCCTGCTGATTTCTATAGAGCAGAAGTGGCACATAAGCGCGGGTTTATATCGAAAAGAGGCGCTTGCTGGAATAGCTGTTTGCGCAAGATGCCGAGGGGCAAGGCAACATGTTCGAAATTGGAACGTGGGGCAGGACGGACGATATTAAACATCGCGGGCACCACCACGAGCCAAGATCCGGCTTCGCAGTTGATTCTAACGGCAAACAACTATTATGCTACACAGGGACTCACGAGAAGTGAGTTCCTTCAGGGAGCAGGGAGGATGGGAACATAGTCGTTGGGTTTTAATTATATGCTTGCTCGGGGGGGGGGGGGGGGGGGGGGGGGGGCTTCAGTCCTTTTATAACCTCTGCTGGCGCCGCACCTTATTCTAAATCAGGCGAGAACCCCGAACAATACTATATATTATCGAGACTGGACCATTTCTCGAAGGTCAGGGAATTTTATTGTGGAGCTAACATAATGTCTTGGATTATTCCTTTTTTTTTATCAAAGCTATTAGAGAATGCAACAGCTCGCCATCGATCATTGTTTATATCAGATCAAATTATTTTTTTGCCCACGTATTAAATTCATTTGTTCGTGTACCCATCGTTATGTAACGACCGTATACTGTAACGCTCAACGGGGCGAAGCATGTAACTAATGAATGAAAGAAATATTTCCGAGTAACGACAGTACAACATCACGTTTAACTTGGGATCTGTTGACGTCTGAAAAGATTAGGCACGCCATCTTTAAATTGCTGAATGACGCGATATTCCGTGAAGTTACGCGGAAGACGCACAAAAAAAAAAGTTCTGGATATCGTGGATTAGCGTTGAGAAAGTTGTGCGTTGTTGCCGAGCGCGTTGTAGTCGATATCGCAACCGCGTTTCATTACACTAGTATATCTGACTCCGAGGAATAGTTGGAAGACAAATTTCAAGCCCGTTACTTCCTTCGCCAAGAAGCTACGTGTTCGCATCTGCAGTCTCAGCTTTAAAACTTTAGCATACCTCGATCGGGACGACGAGTAGCAGCCTTGAAAAGAAGACGCGTGCTCTGGGTCGCAACGAATACGTTTTTTAGGCAATGTTTCCTCGTGTCTCGTAACTCTCGCTATCGGCGCACAAGCTCTGTAAACAAGCCGAGAGTAGACTGACTCGCGGCGGCACGCACGTCGAGGTCTTGCAAAAGCTAAATTTCGTATACCGGTCACTGAGACACAAACGGATATTTAGGCACGAACGCTACTTGAACGCAGCGCGAAACCATCGACTATCTGTGGTACAATGTGGAAGAACGCGCTGTATGTGTATCCGTCTGTCGCGTCGCACAAAAAAAGCAGCGAGCACGTGGAAACAACGCTCGGTGGGACGCGCAAGGCCGGAAATTATGCTACGCAGTCGCCGCTTCAGTGCTGCACACAAAAGCCGGCGTGCCGGTCACGTGTATACGTACACTGACTCATGTTTCAACACACATATCACCAGTATGTGTAAACTTTAGTACCCCGACTCATATGTCAGCACACATATCACCAGTATGTAAACGTTAGTACACTGGCTCATATTTCAGCCCACATATCACCAGTATGTAAACGTTAGTACACTGACTCATATGTCAGCACACATATCACCAGTATGTAAACGTTAGTACACTAAGCGTTTACTAAGTCATTCAGCCATCGCATTGGCATGGCGGATTCATCCATGTGTGAAAACTGCAACTGTATAGAGACTATTGAACATCTCTTGTGCCACTGTGCCCAATTTGATGAAGATCGCCGGACTCTCCAGTGTGCCTTGAATAGACTCGATGACCGGCCATTTAATGAAGCAAAGATCTTGGGAGCCTGGTCGCGCAGCGCATCAGCACAGAAAGCCACACGAGACCTCCTGAGATACTTGACAACAACTTCATTGAGGGACCGCCTGTGAAACTCGGCATTGTGTGTGTGATGTGACATGTGTCTATCCTTTTCTCTCTCTCTTTTACTCCCCCTCCCCCTCCCCATGTGTAGGGTAGCAAACTGGACGCATAGTCTAGTTCACCTCCCTACCTTTTCTACATTCCTTCTCTCTCTCTCTTAGTACACTGACTCCTATTTCAGCACACATATCACCAGTATGTAAACGTTAGTACACTGACCCATATTTAAACACACATATCACCGGTATGAAAACGTTCCTGAGTGGCAAAATGTGTGAATGATCGCGAGTTTGTGTGTCAAAAGTGTGTGATCTTAAGTCTAAGCGAACGAGGGCGAAAATGCGAATGAATTAGTGTGCGGATGTGAACATGCGAACGAGAGAGAGAGTACGCGAGAATGAACGCGTGCTACAGTAGCACGTCCAATGGCAACGATGGTGAACGTATGAGAGGGTGCCGGTTTATTCGGCAGGACCTAAAATATCCGTCACCGTCGAGACCTAGCGATGTATAGCAGACATATCACACCTCGACTTCTGTGCGTGGCTGTCGCCACTGTTTTACGTTATCCCCGACAATTTCGGAATCAGACAGGCTTTGTCTCTACGCGAGTGCCACACTTGTCAGGCTGAGAAAAGAGATTGAGCATTCAAAAGAGACTAAGAATAAAAATGAAACAAATAAAAAACAACCAGTAAAGGCATATTATTAAAAATATCGGTCCAACACAACCAACCCTGTATTGAGGCGCCGGAAAATAACTACTTGAACAATCAACGCACGCGTTGTGGTTTGCAAGGAGTGCATTTCATATTTGGAGAGAGTTGGAAATTATGCACGCTTAGGGCAAACTTTGAGGTCTCTATTGTCCCCTCACTGCACAGTGTTTTTCAACGATGATTTCATCTGACTACTGCCTAAATAAGCGAATATCAAAGACTGGTTCGTTTGTCCCCACTTGAACTACGAAACCTGGCTTCTGCAGCCAAATTCTGAAGTGGCGAATGATAACGGCGAAAACAATAATCCGAACGAATTCGCGCGTTCAAGCGGTAAAAACAAAAGAACGCTAAACGAATGGTACGAAACACTCGCTACGTACCAGAGAGGATCACCGGGGTGGTCGGCACAAAAAAAATTCCTCAGTCAGAACTCTCCGGGCACAAAGAAGTTCCTGAGACGCACTCAATCAAGGGAGACCCCCCACTTCTCAAGCTTCTGGTTCTCGTGCGTTGGGCGATCGTCACGAAGCAGAAAAAAATGCACCAGCACTCGTTGAGCGATGCGCCGACCACTGGCGATCACGGTATCTCCACAGGCGGGATCAAGGAATGGCCTCGGGTCATCGGAAAGCGACGGGGCAACCTTCGCCGCACGAGCTTCATCCTGGGGGGCAACCACTACGACGGCACAAGAGCGAGTGAGGGAGGGATGCCTCCACAGACAGCGCGGCAGTGTCGAGCGAGCGCTGACGGCAGCCGGTCTGCAGTGGTTGCGGCGTGCTTCTGTTGTGGCGGAGACCGCCACGCAGCAAGCGCGGGCCTCTCTCTCTCTCTACCCAACTCTCTCCGCAGCCAGCAAGAGCGGGTGAGGTGACGTACTGGAACAACGCCACCTAAAGAAACTCTGGAAGCGGGCCGTCAAGAAAAAAAAAAAAAGAGAAAATCGCAGCCACGTGATCACCCGAGAGAGATGACAAGCGGGAGCAAGCTCACGAGCCGGGCTCTCCTCCATCTTGCGCACGCTTCGTCCGCCTGCACTTGTGCCGGCATCGCATTCGCGCGAGCGAGTGCTCTCCTCTTTCCCCGACTCCCGTAAACGCAACGTGTGGGCCCGCGAGAAGAAAAAAAAAATGTTTTTTCATTTCTTTTTATCGACCGCTCGTGCGGTGTGGCTGATAAGGGAAACCCCACTGCTCGAGTGTATTGCGCTGCTCACCCCTTTTCGTTTACTTCTTTAGTTTTTCCCACCGCCTGCACAATGCAGTCGGGCGCACTGAGCGCTATTATTACGCAGATTTATTGCATCCCCAGGGGTCGCTTTCCAGCTGGTAGAGCGTATATAATACTCCTTTATCCCTCCGTTATCGGTCGCTCTATTGCGGTATGTGCGCTGAAAGGAAGCGTAATCGCTATAACGGTATGTGAAGCGGCCAGCCTCACTGTTTATGTAAGTACGAGGCGCTATCGTAGTACAGGAGGCGCTGCAGTCGGAATAGCGAGGTCTCGCTGAATGACCGCCGCCCTCCAGAATGGAAGCCGTGCGCTATCATCCGCTCGGAACGCGTGGAATTCGCGTGTCACTTTGTGGCGCCGCTTCCTTGCGTCCTTTATCTAAGAATGGAATTCCAGCTTACGGCACTTCGAGCGCTTCGGGATGCCACGCATAACGGTGCGTGCACAGGTTGCCAGCCGAAGCACGATGGTAAACGTGCTCGAGGTGATTGAGGTTGATCAAGAAATCGAATTTACCATTCAGAGAGGACGCCTCAAGGCCTGTAGGATTTTCAAATCCACTCTTCAGAACTGCCGCTGAAGTGGCCGCTAAGATATTACTTATAGTCTTATAAAACTGCGAGGATATCGTTATAAAACTTGATAAACGGATTTCACTCGACGGTTACGGCGGAAGCTCACTCCAACTTTGCTATTCATGACGATAGTTAAAGCGCGGGAACAGAACGACGACAAAGAGACAAGAAGGATTGATTGATATTTGGGGTTTAACGTCCCAAAACCACTATATGATTATGAGAGACGCCGTAGTGGAGGGCTCCGGAAATTTAGACCACCTGGGGTTCTTTAACGTGCACCCAAATCTGAGCACACGGGCCTACAACATTTCCGCCTCCATCGGAAATGCAGCCGCAGACAAGAAGGACATGTCCTTAGTTAAAGCGCGGGAACAGAACGACGACAAAGAGACAAGAAGGACATGTCCTTCGTGTCCTTCTTGTCTCTTTGTCGTCGTTCTGTTCCCGCGCTATAACTATCGTCATGTCATACCAACTAGCCCAAGCGGCCACACTTCTTTGCTATTCAGTTACGGAGTCTTTGCAAACATACAAATACATACCTCAAGTGTATAGATATGTGCTTGCTCCACGACATGCATACACTGCCGCGGCGGTGTTGCACAGTTGATGAACTAGGCCCTTGTTTTATTTGCAGCGCATCTCTCCCCCTTTCTTAGGAAACCCCAAGACATTGCGCATGCCATCACCTCATTTTGAAACGGCGTCCGCAGTATCTAATTTGTTCGTCACGAAAAAAGCTACGTTATTGGGGATATCCGGACAAGATGAAAGATTTGCTTGACCACCCACGTGTTGTATTCAAAGCGTGGTATCAAATAAGAGTGCTAGTCTGATATGTTGTCTGTAGGTGAATGACGTTCTGTCTGGGTCCTGTGTTCGATTACAGGTCGCAGAAGCTAAATGCGAGGATACGTTTGTCTACACGTCGAAGGGTCAACTACTCGCAGGCTGTCCAAACTATCCTGGAGCCCCGCACAGAGGCATCTTTCAATAGTATACTGCTCCCGCAGGAAGTGGACGACCGTTTAAACACATAGGCGTATCACCGACCATTCCGTCTCAAGCGACAACATGTGCGCTCGCACATTCGGTTATCTATAGGAGGCATTGATCGATACCGCGAATTCGTGCACTGCAAAAAATGTGCTTAAAATGGCCGAGCGACGGTGACCAAAAAAAAAAAAAAAGAGCACCTATACGGAGGTTTGGCTGGGTACCACCGAGAGAGCCGGTTCACCTTTTGTGTACAAAAAGACGCGTCTGGCGCACACAATGCACGTCGGCTGCTAAGCCCCCGAACACCGGTATAGGTAATACCCTAAAGCCACTCAAGACCATCCCATTAGAGCTTGTTTCATGGCCTGCGTCGCTGCTCGGGGGAATGTAAAGCAACGTATTTGCATATGCTATTCCTTTACGACGAGTGCGGCGGCGATGGCAGTCGGAGCAGATAAACCGGCAGCTGCAGCAGATACGCGACTGAAGCCAATAAAGTTCCCCCCGACGAGGAATCCCTCCCTTTTCGTTTCAGGGCCGCTCTCCGAGCTGCGTGGAGCCCGGGCATCGCGTCAAGCCGAGAGGCGGCCGGCAGCACGTGGAGAAAACCACTGCTGCTTTCGTATGCAGACAGGCAGGAAGCATTTCGCACGGCGAATCAAAAGTGTTGCGCTGCCTCGTTGGCCCGTCCGCCCAGCGGGTGTAGTCGTCTGACTACAGCGCGTCGCTTCTTCGAGCGAACTATATTGGGTAACGAGCTGTAGCTTAGCGTCTCGCTGCCGGTTCTACCACAGCCAAGATCTTCTTGACTGTTTTCACAGCGCGTGAACGCGCCAACTCGAAAGCATTTCGTAGAACGCCAGCGCATCGATCGGTAAATATCGACGTGTGATCGTACGCGAAAGTATTCACGGATAACTTTTCTCCAAGTTCGAAGAACGAGCCACAACACACCGGCTTCAATACGTACATACATACATACATACATACATACATACATACATACATACATACATACATACATACATACATACATACATACATACATACATACATACATACATACATACATACATACATACATACATACATACATACATACATACATACATACGACATACATACATACATACATACATACATACATACATACATACATACATACATACATACATACATACATACATACATACATACATACATACATACATACATACATACATACATACGAATATCTAACGTCATACTACGTAGTATAGCAAATGACATGCGTTATCGTGAAAATTAGAATTTTCATAGTCATTTTCTGTAGTCTCACAAATAAGCTGTCTTTGTGTAAACCGGTGGTTCTCAAATGAAGGTCTGCGAAGCGATTTTGGGACAGAATCGAAAGTTGGGCTAGTTGGATGTGCATGGTTCTGCATCTCGCGGTCCATTGCAGAGAGTGCTGCCGCTATCCTCGTTTTCAGGATACTGATGTGGTTTCTCGATCTAACAATCAATTAACTCGTGAGTTGTAGGTAGCTTTTCACGTAAGAAAAAGAGGAGAACAATGCGTCCGCCAACCTTCGGTGTTGCTGCACGATAAAGAGTTTGCTTTCCTAGATTATGTTTTTTAATAACCTTTCTGTTTTTACGCGGTGTTCTCAGTTGCCGCGGTTGTACCTTTTGCCTGCACACGCGTGCTTTGATTTCGATTGCCTGCTTATATATTCTTCTCTGTCCAATAAATCGTTTAGTTGCGAGAAAGCGCTTGTCCTCTCCTCCTTTGTGTCTTTTGGTGCGCTTGAACGACAGTTATACCACGATTTTTGGGAGTCCGCAAAACACATCCTGGAGGGGACACGTGTTTTTGGAGGCATGCACACTATGTCCCATGGCAGCGTATGCTTCGCTGCATAAGGTTTTCGTATTGCGATGGAGCGGACTCCCGTTTTTCCTTCTTCGTGACACGGCTATAAAGCAGGTGTTGCAGTTTTTTTTTTATATAACATGCACGCGAGGACAGATTTTTTAGGCTGACATACTTGAAGAACAGACACAGCTAAAGCGTGTCGAGTGTGACTGCAGACAGCACAACTTATTCACGAGATTTTGAAATGGTTGGCGGGACTCTTTTGTTAGACCAGTTATTCAAAGTAAAAAAAAAAACACCTATTTCACGTGGCATGTTACGTTAAGTGAATGACCCCCTCCCCCTTTTTCTCTTTCTCTCTCATTGAAAGGGCTACCTCATCACTTCCACCGGTTCACAAGGAATCCCCTATACATTCATGGCATAGAACCACTGCTTTAAAAGATACTTTATCGGCATTGTCAAACTTTGTGTTTACGCATGACCCACCTCTCTAACTTTTATATCAATGGCAACTATACAGAGTAGAAGTTAGCTGTTCCGATACCGCACATCAGTCACCTGCCTGCGACAATATCGGAAAATGCCATCGCTGGGACAAAAGGTGTGTCTGAAAAGCTCGTTATATTAGCATGTGAGTTGAGGCGCAGCCGGCTGACGGGAAAAGTATTCAGGAGGCACGTTCGCTGATGGCGCCTAAAATCTTCACCGACCATTCAAATTGCTTTTGTAGCTTTGTTGTGAGCGTTGTTTCTCGATCTGCTACCATAACGCCTTACGCTTTCACACTAAATATCATAAAGAATATTTAACGCAAATCGAGACAAGGACGCAAAAATGGGGGACACGGCACGTGCGCTACTTAAGGCAACATTCCGCGCTGAATATTCTCTACAATGCGTTACCAACAAGCCCGACCGTTTACCTTCGCTGAAAACTGCTTTTGCAGTGAATCATTTCCGGAACCACGCAGCTATCCAGTGGCACAGAGTGCGAATCCATCTTGGAGTGAGTGCGGTGCTTGACGGCGGAGCCGAGAGTCACGGGTTCGACCCCAGCCGTGGCGGCCACATTTAAATGGCGGCAAAACGTTAGACGC